AATAATGGGTTTCTGAAAGCCTGCAAGTGGTTCTGGGAATGATAATAAGGATTGAGAAAAGACATGTTGTTTATGTGGTGAGTGTTTGTGGAATATTAAATGAGGGTGGGAGAAAAGCTCATGTTACACTTTCCACAAACTCCAAAATATACAATTACACCCAAGCAGCCCATCACTGCCTGTCTCTCCTCCAAGCACACACTTACCATCAATCCCATTACCCTGAGAGTCTGGGACTGCGGCAGAGTTGGGGAAAAAGGCATTATTCCGTGGTTTCCATTGCAGAGTGATTCATGTCCTATAACAACTCCTAGCTTTCCCATCACGGAAGGGAGCACCCTGAGCTACAAGGCTATGAAAGGCTGGCCCTAGTCCCAGTTCCTTCCCTCACCTACAGTTAGTTCTTAGCAAGTTATTCAAAGTCCCTGAGCTACCTTCCTTTAGCCATGACCCTGATGTGGATCATTTAAATGATGACCAACTGCCCTTCCTTATTTTGTAAGCTCCTTGAGAACATGGGACCTAATTCGTTGTTTTGTCTTTAATTGTGATAAAACACAAAACATAACATTTAGTACGAAAGTGTACAGTGGTGTTAAGTACATTCACAATGCTGTGCAATCTTCACTACTAGCTGGTTCTGGAACTTTATCATCATCCCACAGGTAACTGATATCCATTAAGCAATCACTCTCCATTCCTCCTTTTTCTCCAGCCCCTGGAAGATCCATTGTCTTTAACTATTACAGTGTCTACTCCTGCCTTGTAAATAGTAGGTCTTGATTAATATTTATTAAATTGAATAATTGCCCACTTAATTAACAATATCTGCTCTGCCTGCTTCAATGGTTTTTATAGTGTAGGCTGATTATTGTAGAATTATTTTATAGGATAATAGTGGGGACCACACAATCATAACTGTCACTTACTGAGTGTTTACTGTGTGTGTGCTGTGCTGCTGACAAATGCATTTACCCATCTGATCCTTCCAACAACTCTGAGAAAGCCATTATTATCCCTATTTGACAGGTGGAGAAACTGAGATACACGGATCTTAAGGATTAAAATCCAAATTTGTCTGACCCCAAAGCTCAATGTAAAAAGGAAACACAGTAGCAAGTAAGATTGCTTTTACTAATAAGATGATATGGTGGGGTTTAGGGAAGTTGTCTTAGCTTTCTGTTGCCATGATTCCCAAGCTCTGTGTGATTCCCCAGTACACCCAGATCTGTATCTGCCAATTTGTGTTGCCTTTTGCCTAAGAACTATGACTTGACAATCACTTCTCTTAGGAAAAGTCCCCACTGACTTTGAGTATGTGCATCTATTCAGCCCCCACTGGTTGCTGTGTCTTCACGCACATCTTCTCACTCAGCCTTGTAAGGTGACTGACCTCTTTGCCCATCAGGTCTGATCCAAGTGCAAAACAGATGCAGGAGACAAATGGAAACTAAAATGTTAGCTTTATTACAGGTAAAACTGAATTGGGTGATGCCACTCAGACTTATAGCCAAAATGATCTTTCATGACTTCCCATAAGGTCATACCTGGGAAGAGTCAATTGGAAGAAATGGGTTTTGAAGAGTTGACACTTCTGCAGCACTCTCTGTGGAGGCCACTATTCTGACCCATACTCAAGGGAGAGCCCAGGAGAGCCATTACTTGCTTGTTGGCCCATTAGGAGAACCATGGACAATGGCCCTGAGACATTGCATCACTTACTGAAGTTCATTTGAGCTTTGTAATAATTTGGGTAGTAAGTTTGACTGCCCCACTTCTACAGATAAGCAAAACAAAATTCACAGAGGTCAAGCAACTTGGCCAAGACTCAGCTGGAAAGAGACTCTGGGACCTACTCACTTCTCAGTCAACTGCATCAGTTCTCTCCTGGTGATCAGTGGATGGCTCCGAGTCACCAAAAACTCGGTGTTCTCATCCAGAACTCTTGTGCTCACTTCAGGGGACACTCAGATGTCTTTTGCCCTTGGGAATCCCATTTTGTTTGGAGGAGGCTTCACGGCATAGTCTTGGATCTTGGGGCATCACATGCCAGTGTTCTCACTCCGACGGGGACTATGAGTCACTCTTAACTCCTTTGCTCTCTAAACCCCACTCCCTGCATTGTGATTTTATTCAGCAACCTGTTCTCTCAGTCACACCATTTTTGTCCATTAATAGCACAAATCTGCAAATATGCATTAGCAGGCTTTACATTCTGAAATCAGCTCTGACTCAATACTATTATATGATTAAAGAGCAACCATTTGAGACTCACAACTAAGCCATACTTTCTCACATATGCTTTATGTTAAATGATGTAGAGGAATAAATAGACATCAGCAGTTTACAACACCACTTACAGGGCACTTAATAGATGCACGCATCATGCTAAGCACTTTCTACTCAATATCTCATTTAATCTTATTTTTGTCAGGGTCACCACCCCCAGATGACTCTAGGTTTCCTGATGGCAAGATCAGAGGCTGGCCCTGCACAGAACCTGGCACATAGTAAGCATTCAAGATTTATTCCAGAGCAGCTGACATTCATTAAACACCTACTGTGTTCCAGGTACTTTTAACGAACTCATTGGCAGCCCCACAGGCCTTGAGATGGGTGTTACTATTTTGGTTTTCCTGAAGAGGAAACCAGGCTCTGAGGCATTCAATAACTTTCTTAGGTTTCCTAGCTAGTAAGCAAAAAAGCCAAGTACTACCCACATTCTCAGGCTCTAAAAGCAGAGCTCTTTCCACTACACCATGAATGAATGAAATTAAAAGAGTGTAGAGTCTGGTATGCAACTTCAATGTGCTTCTCTCTAGTTAATAAATTTGTCTACTACTCCAGGACAGCATGATTGAGTTGATAGTGATAAGCAAAAATCACTGCTACCTGGGGTTACAGGAAGATAAGTCTGCCTGAAGCAGGTAGAAAAAGTGCTAGGGAGAAAATGGAGAATGGACTCTGCTCTCAAAGGCTATGCAAGATTTAAATGGTGAACTGGATAAGTGAGGAAGTACATAAGCAAAAATACAGAGGCAGAAACCTGAAGACATGAACACAGCGGTAGGGAGAAAGTTAACCAGAGGATAGGACTGCGAGCATCAGAGATAGGATTACAGGGAGCTCTGACAACCAGTAGACAGAAAGGCAATACTGCGGATTCCTGAGCTAAGGAAAGTCATGATGAGAGACATATTTTAAAAAGAAGAATCTGCATACAGAACAGAAAAGGAGTTTGTAGGGGGGTGCCGAGCACTTGCAATGGGCTTGAAATGTACTGTGTGTAACTGAGTGAATTAATTCATAAGTAGTCAAATAAACAAATGATTGAAGAAAACAAGAGCTATTGGGGTATCACTGGTTATTATGAGGTGCAAGGCCTGAGCTGAGTAATATTAGGGAAGATTTGGCCAAACTTGGAAGTACTGGATGAAGTACATAATGAAAGAAAAATCCAATGCCTTCTTTCTTTCTCTTCAGTCTACTCATTCTTACAACCCAGGGAACCTGAAAAAATTCCTAGGAAAGTAATGAAAACCAGGGCAAGAGCATGAAAGAAGTCTCTATAAAGCAACAGATTGACTAACAAAGAGGCTGCATACCAGTGACACGCGTTGGTGTTACTTTCTAACCAGAGATAGAAATCACACAGGATATCTAGGTGTGTATTCCAGAAGGGTGTTATGGAACAATAACCTCATCAATAGAGACTAAAATAAGATGTGAGAAATACAAGGCTCTTAACAATGTGAGAAGCAGCCCTTTGATGAGCGCTTTGTTTGTTGACTAATTTGCATTAAGAATCACACTTAACATGACCTTATGGAGTAGAGCTGAAGCTTCCTCTCTCCTGTATTTGGCTTTTTAATAGTACAAAAATTGGTAATTCAGCAACTCTCAGGTATGCAAAATCTGACACACTTGTTTTCCTAGTAAATGTAGATCTGTTTTTAGCCCCATGGGCTTCTAACTCACAGATTAAACAAGATAATATTTAAACGTACCTAATGCATATGAGACACTTGAAATTATAGGTCTGTTCAGACTCATTTATCTTGCCCTAACACGCAGACCTGCTTTTGTTCTTCTCAGGTCCCACCTTTTATCTGCAGAACTGAGAAGGCTGCCTATAAAACCAAGTTTGATATTGGGTGACTGCCATATGCTAACCAACTTCCCTGATGCTGCCTATCTTCATTTATCCATCTGACCATCCACCCTTTATTTCTTCTCTTCATTATCTATCCATCCATCCATCCATCAATCCATCCATCTGTCTATTCATCCATCCATCTATCCATCCATTCATCCATTCATCCTTCCATCCATCCATCTGTCCACCCATTCATTTATCCATGCATCCATCCATGCATCCATCCATCCATGCATCCATCCATCCATCCATCCTTCCCATGCATAAAGTGTATTCCAGGTACCATTCACTGTGCCAGGGGTGAGGATGTGGCAGTTATCAACTCAGGCAAGGCTCATGGCTGCCATATGTGAGATGTCCTTCATTCCCCTTTGCCTGTGTTTTTTCTCTAATGACCTTTAGCCCCTTACTGAGGTCTAACTTTCTCTAAGACTAGAATGATGAATTGGGAAGAACATAGTACCTGTGACTTTAAGTAAGTTGTTTGCCTGCTCTAAGTCTCATCTCCTCCTCATTAAATAGGGATAAAAATGCTAAATATCTCAGAATTACTAGGGTGGTATAAGTGGGGGAATAATTGCCTGGTACAGAGTAGGTACTCAATTCTTGGTTACTATCAATATCAACATCTGTAAAATCAGAATACTGATAGTTTCCTCTTGTTAAGACCTCTGTGTTCACAAAATTTCAACAGCTGACCATTGCGTTTAGTATATTAATCCAAATCCTTACAATAGCCTGGGAGACCAAACAGGATCAGACCCCTGTCTGCCTGTCCAGGATCACATGCCCCTCCTTCCTGCTGTCTTGGCACGTTGGCCATCTTACCATACACCCTGTAGAATCATCAGAGCTGCTCACCAACTATTTCTAGTTCCGCTGCTTCACAACAACTTGCAAACTTCCTGATGATGTAAGCTCCATCCATCTGTATTGCTGAAACAGAGATTTTATGCTAACTAATGATGGATATGGAGTACAAGCAAGACACAAATCTTCATCACTGTTATGGACAAAATGTTTGTGCCTCCTCCCCAAAATTTGTATGTTGAAATCCAAACCCCTGAGGGGATGATATTAGGGGAAGTAGAGTCCTTGGGAGGAAATGAGGTCATAATTGCAGCGCTCATGGATGGAATTAGCACCCTTATGAGAAGAGACACTAAAGAGATGGTTTTTCTCTAGGCTGTGTGAGAATATAACCAGAAGATAACCATCTGCAACCAGAAAGCAGGCCCTCACCAGGCAACAGATTTGCCAGTCCCTTGATCTTGGACTTCCCAGTCTCCAGAATTGTGAGAAATAAATTTTTGTGGTTTAAGCCACCTGGTCTATAGTTTTATAGCAGCCTGAGCTCACTAAGACAATTATGTTCAGCTTCTAATAATTGGGGGCTCCTTGCTTCTATAGCAAAACTAGCCTAATCTGAGTAATACACTGATATCATCCTCCCTCTGGTAACAGGGTCTTCACTCCAGCTGGCCCCTCTGCCTGGAAATCTCTCTCCTCTCTATTTTAAAAACTCCTTCAGATCTCAAAACTCAAGCATTTCTTCTTCAGGGAAGTGTTCCCTAACTATGTCATTCTCCCCTGTCAGAGGCTGTCATCAAGTATCTCTCCTTCATAGCTCTTCTCCAAGTGGCAATTTTACTTTTATTTATTTGATGATTTTATTAATTTCCATCTCTTCCAACAGACTGTAAATTCCATGGGAGCATGATCCAGATTTGTTTACAGCACATTGTCTTATCTTTAATACGCACAACAATCTAGCATGTTGTAGGCCCTAAATAAATATTTGTTGAATGAAAGAAGGAAATAGGGAACGGAAAAAGGAAGGAAGGAAGAAAGGAAGGAAGGAAGGAAGGAAGGAAGGAAGGAAGGATAGAAGGAAGGCAAAGGATGGAAAAGGAAGGAAGGGAGGAAAAGGAAGGAAGGGAGGAAAAGGAAGGAAGGGAGGAAGGAAGGGAGGGAGGAAGGGGAAGGAAGGAAGGGAAGGGAAAAAAGGGAAGGAGGGAGGGAGGGAGGGAGGAGTAGATAAATAGTAAATACTTAGGACAAGTAAATACCTTATTTTCTAAGTCTGCCACATCTGCTACAGTTAGGTTGGCTGGGACATGAGTTATTGCTGCAGAAGGAATCAGAACACATTGCCTCCTTTATATCATTTGCCCTTGAAAAAATTCAGAAAGGTTGAGTCCAATTCAGACCCTATGACCTACCCCTTACCGGCCAGTGTGTGCTGGTACCTCAACTCAGTTCCTCTCTCCTTGTGCCTAGAAAAGGCTATTGCAGAATCCTGGCAGCCACATATCCCCCACCAGAGTCTGCCAAGGCCCTGGGTGCCTCAGTATCCCCAGTCTGGGGCCTAGGGACAGAGACCTCTCTGCCCCCTGCCGAAGCAGTGTCTATGCATTGATGGTGCCACTCTGATTTGTTAACCTAATTGCCTTCACCTCTCCATAAATCAGATTTACAGAGCACAGTGCATTTTGGAAGCCCTGGGACACCTCTGGGGCCTCGCAGTTCAATGGAGCTCATTATGGAAATCAGCTAAATGCTGAGGAGCAAGATAAGTGCTAACTGTTTACCAACCCCTTCCACTAGAGACACGCAGACGGCGCTAATGGGATCTCATTTATGGCCTCCCTAACTCACTCAACCCTCTTTATCTGCTACTGTGACTAATCTTCAGGGAGAGGGGTGCGTGTCTGCATGAAAGAGCTCTCCAAGGGGCTTGAAGTGATTGGTGAAGGAGGACAGGAACAGAGGGGGGCCAAGCCCAGAGCCTTAGAACCAGCCAGGCCCAATTCACCCCACCCACCACAGAAGAAGCCCCTCCCTGACTTCCAGGGCAGTAGATTCTTAGGACAGCCATTTTTTTTTTTTTATTTCAACCTTTATTTTAGATACAGGGGGTACATATGCAGGATTTTTACGTGGGTATATTACACCAGGTAGTGAACATATTACCTAATAGAGAGTTTTTCAAACCATGCCCCTCTCCCTCTCTCTCCCCTCTAATAATCCTCAGTGTCTATTGTCCTCAGGTTTGTGTCCATGTGTGTTCAATGTTTAGCTCTCATTATACAAGAGAACATGCAGTATTTGGCTTTCCATCGCCATGCTAATTCACTTAGGATTATGGCCTCCAAAGAACTTAAAACAGACCTACCATTGGACCCAGCACTGCCATTACTGGACATATACCCAAAGGGAAATAGACCATTATACCAAAAAGACACATGTATGTTAATCACTGAGTTATTCACAATAGCAGAGACATGGGATCAACCTAGGAGCCCATAAACAATGTTTTGTATAAAGAAAATGTGGGGCCAACCATGGTGGCTCACGTCTGCAATCCCAGAACTTTGGGAAGCAGATTACCTGAGGTCAGGAGTTCGAGACCAGCCTGGCCAACATGGCAAAACACAGTTTCTATTAAAAATACAAAAATGACCCGGGCATGGTGGCACATGCCTATAATCCCAGTTACTTGGGAGGCTGAGGCAGGAGAATCACTTGAATCCGGGAGGCAGAGGTTGCAGTGAGCTGAGATCACACCACTGCACTCCAGCCTGTGTGACAAGAGCGAAACTCTGTCTGAAAAAAAAAAAAAAGAAAGAAAGAAAAAGAAAATGTGGTACATATACACCCCCAGGGAATATTACACAGCCACGAAAAAGAATGAAATAAAGACTAGTCAGCTTTCTAAAGATCCAGTGAAATAACCATGATGGTTAAACTAAACGTCCCCGAGAGGAAAGCATTTCACAGTTTATATTGCATTTTGACTTCCATTAACTTGTTTGAACCTCACAATATTTTGAGCAGGCAGATGTACTGCTTCCACCCCATTTACCAGCTGAGGAAACAGGTTCAGGGAATAAAGTTACCTACTCAGATTGTTATTGGTGAATTTTGTTTTTCTCTGTCCAAATACAATGCACTTGTCACTTTGCCAAATCTCTAAGTGGGGTTTATTAGAATTTGATTTATGGGGTTCAGGGTATCCCTGAGTTTCTTGAACTCATGTGTAAATTTTTTATGTGTTCATGTAGGGGCATTTTTTTTTCCCCCGGGCAACAAGTTCAACATGTTTATGACTCTCGGGTAAAACAAAACCCTAAAAGTTAAGATCACTAGGACTACTGTACTCTGAGGGCACAGGGTATTTATCTTGTGGTCCAGAGAGGCTAGACACTTTTGTTCATCTACCCATTGTTCCCAAGGAAGAAAGGTGTAGATTTAGTGCCATTAGATCTCCAAGCTCATGTCTTCCCATTCCTATCCATCATTCTCCAATGGTGGCCTATGCCAGGTCAACTCAGAAGTCCAGTCTCAGGTAACCAGAGCTGTTTCCCCTCTGGTCACAGACACAGCGACCCTCCCTCCTCACCACAGGCCACAGGAGTTCATGATCAACAGCCAGACCTTGAAACACAAGACCACATCTTGTGCAGGACCAGGGCTAAGGGGAGGCAAGAGAAATAAGTTATCAAGTACAAGGTCTGATCCTGTCTTCAACAATCTGGATATTTTTCACATCGATTTCAAGGTTTTTTTAAATGTTAAATTATGTATTATTCATCTTATTATCTTAATTACTGAGGGTTTTTTTTTTTTGGTGCCCCCTTAAATTTTGCTCCTGAAGTGTGTGCCTCATTTGCTTCACCCTAACTAGAGTCCAAACAAGGTGGCATCTTTTGAGGAGTCCAGCCCTGCCCACACTCTTTTTTGAGACAGGATATCTTTCTGTCACCCAGGCTAGAGTGCAGTGACGTGACCACGACTCAACCTCCTGGGCTGCAACCTCAACTTTGTGGGCTCAGACAATCCTCCCACCTCAGCCCCTCAAGTAGCTGAGACCACAGGCCCACACCAACATGCCTGGCTGATTTTTGTATTTTTCGTAGAGCTGGGTTTTCGCCATGTTGCCCAGGCTGGTCTTGAACTCCTGGGCTCAAGTGATCCACCCACCTCGGCTTCCCAACGTATTGGGATTACAGGCATGAGCCACTGAGCCTGGCCTGTCCAGACTCTTAAGTATACTACGCTCACCTGCTTGTCATACAATGTCACCCAGAGGACCTTAGTTCTCTGACTCAACTCCCTTATTTTAAAGCAGTGTATAGATTAAACAAAATAATCCCTAGGGTAAGACAGACACAGGTTTGTATCCTGGCTGTCCTTGAGGCCTTGAAACATTGAGGGAAGTCACTTAATTTGAGCCTCTGTTTTCTTATCTGTAAAACATGGACAACACTAGTATCAACTGATATGCCAATCAGATAGTATAATTTCCATACCATTAAAATAATGCAGGCCAGGCACGGTGACTCACACCTGTAATCCTAGCACTTTGGGAGGCTGAGGTGGGTGGATTGCCTGAGCTCAGGAGTTCAAGACCAGCCTGAGCAATACAGTGAAACCCCGTCTCTACTAAAATACAAAAGAAATTAACCAGGCATGGCAGTGTGCACCTGTAATCCCAGCTCTTCAGGAGGCTGAGGCAGGAAAATTGCTTGAACCCAGGAGGCGGAGGTTGCAGTGAGCCAAGATTGTGCCACTGCACTCCAGCCCGAGCAACAGAGCAAGACTCCATCTTTACAAAAATAAATAAATAAATAAATAAATTTTTAAAAAATAATAATAATCCAGGCATGTGTCTGAATGTCCCCAGTGCTCTGCTTGAATTTGGATAAGAAGGTGAGCAATGAGGATGAGTCACTTGGGGACCCAAAGCCTCTACACTGATCCATGAGCTCTAGCTTTGAAGACATGCAGCCCTGGGTTTAAGATCTTGGCACTCTCAATTGCTTGCTGTGAGATCTTGGACAGCCTCTCTGAGCCTCACTCTTGGTGTTTATAAGTGAAAATAATAATGCCTACCATTTAAAACTGTTGTGAGGATGAAACATAATTAACGTACC